TTAGCCGCAAGAGAGAAAAGGACTCTAATGGAATTCATCTTGGCAACGGGGGCAAAAGTTTCTGCATAATCAACTCCATACATTTGAGTAAATCCCTTTGCCACTAAGCGAGCTTTATACCTTTCCACTGTTCCATCAGCCTTATGCTTGACTGTGAACACCCATTTACATCCAACTGGAACATTTCCCTTAGGAAGATCAACAAGTTTCCATGTGCCATTTTTGTGAATGGCATTAATTTCTTCCCTCATGGCATTTGTCCACTCAGGAATTGAAAGAGCTTCTGCCACATTCTTAGGGATATGAACGCTGTCAATAGAGGTAAGGAAAGCACGGAATGAGGGTGAAATGTTCTCATAGGAGACAAAGTTGGAAATGGGATGTTTAGTGGTGCACAATCTAACACCCTTCCTGTGAGCAATAGGGCGGTCAAGATCATTAGTAGTAGAGGAATCATTTTCAATAGACTCAAGGACATCATTGGGAGCCAAAATACCTGAGTGAGTATGATCCTCCCCCAAGGAGTCTGGTGGCACAGAAGGAACAACTTCCGGATTCTCTACAGCTCTTGAATTTGGTTGGCCTTTGCGACGACGAGAAAAAACACGAAAAGGCGGAGGGTCAGAGAGAGAGGGAAGCTGAACCAGTTTCTCCCCATGCCTACACTCCCCCTGAGGAGAAACAGGATAGAAAGGCTCATATTCAAAGAAAGAAACATCCATGGAGACATAGAATTTACGAGAAACAGGATCGAAACAAAGGTATCATTTTTTAGTGAAGGAGTAACCAAGAAATATACAAGGGATAGCACGAGAATCCAATTTCCCATGGGTGGGAGACAGATTTTGGACAAAACACCGGCAACCAAAGACACGAGGAGGAATAGAAAGAAGAGGGGCCTTAGGAAAGAGAAGTTGATGTGGGGTTTTATACTCTAACCGACGAGAGGGCATATGGTTTATAAGGTAAGTGGAACAAAGAATAATTTCAAGTCCATCAGCCATACGACCCCTACCAATCGTCCTCTCCGATGCCAGATCCTGAATCACACAATGAGAAGGGAAAAAAGTCACTGTGCAATTCAAGGAATTAGTAACACTACTAACAGAGAACAAATTAATGGGAAATTTTGGAACATGAAGGACATCAGAAAGGGTAAAACCAAGAGGAAGAGAGAGTTCCTTGACCAGCTATGGAAGAGTATGATCCATCGGCTAGTCTCACCTTGTCTCTTCCAGAAAGAGGGTGATAGGTTTGGAAGTAAGATGACGTATCATTCATATGTTTTGATGCTCCAGAATCAATGATCAATGGAGAGTCAAGGGTGTGAGAAACAATATGGAAAGCAGTGGCAGGGTTACTTGACGTAGATGCAAATGAGGTTGAGGGAGGAGCATCCATCTGACGAATTGCTCTACCATAGTGAAAGAATGAGAGGATCCATCTAATGGACGCTATAAAGATTGCAGAATGGGTGGGCGAATTTCAAAAATCTTCCTACCTTCTCTTAACTGGGAATCGTATTTCCCAAATTTAGAAAACAATATTCAGTGATCCTACTTGAACCATAACCGAACCAGAACTGAACCAAAAGGAAAGAGAGAAATTATACCTGATCCAGAGAAGCAGTATCTTCCAAAGTTAGTGTTTATGCCCAAAGAGGACACCAAGATTCACTCCTGCTGAAGATGACACAGCTATATGTGGAACGGAACCAGTAGAGTGCGTCATACACACTAGATCCTTTGCAAGAATCCTCTGGAAATTCTGAGCACCAAATCTTTTTCAGTCTTTTTTGCAAAGCTGATGTCAAGAACTGATTTCTTGATTTCTTTCTTCTTCAAAGATTGAATCTTGTCAGAAAGAATGGCGGCAGCTGGACGAGAACTCCTGGGACGAAGATGGCTGAATAACTTATCTTCTTTCTGGAGTGTGTATGAGACCCAATCTCAATTTGTAGGATGCTTTCTTGCACAAGACCCCTAGGTTCGAAATCTGATTATATTTCACTTAGGGTTTCTCCTCTTTCTTCTTGATTAAGAAACCTCCTAATTAGGAATTATCCCAACCCAAATCAGTATTTTGATAGAGGATGATCTTAATCCTATCTGCAGATTAAGTTAGCTTACTCCTGATCTTATCAGGAGGTTACCAGATTCAAATCTGATTTGAATTTGATCTCCCAGAGTGGATAAGGT